AGAAAACAGAAGTATTTGTTATTACACACTTTTTCCGGTGCAAAGTTCTCATCGAGTACATAATTTGTTCAACATTGTCTAAACTAAATTCGATATCAATGTTCAATCCTTTGTTTTTTTACTATGTAGCCCAATATTAACGCCATATATCAAAATAAGTTATTGTTTTTTAACAATCGGATATAAAAATAATATGCATATGTGAAAACATAAATGCTAAAAGTTGCAACAGTTGATTTTACGAAAAGCAAAAACGTGAAATTTTAAAGTTTGTTTCAATGAAAACTATTACTTATAAGTAAAAGAAAATTGGTTTGTTTTTTGCCGTTTTTTTCCTTTGCATTCGTTATCTTTGCATGAGCTTCTTGATCATTTATTTAACTTGGACAAATCGTTAAGGTCAAGTTCGTGAATTTCACCATAGCTTCATTGATAAATAATTTACAAACATTATCTAATGACTAAAGAATATCAAGCGGCTGAAAATGTTTAAATATTAAATATTGTGAGAAAAACCTTCAACGTGTAACAAATTTGTATCAAAATGCAAACCCATGTAAAAAAACATTACAGCAGCGGATTGTAATTGATATAAAGTAAATACAAATATTATGATATTGGTTATATACGTTGCAATTATAAATAATCAAATTAAGTTTTCAAGCTGATGAAAAAATGTATAACCAAAATAATACAAAACAAGATATTTTCAGTTTTCTTATACAACCATGATTGTATAAAACAATTATCTTTTATGAAAGATTTTGTGAAAGTGGACTTAATTAATTACTTATCTCGGGTTATTAAAACACGATTTCGTAATAATTACGCCTACTGAGGCTGTACTGCATTTTAATTAACCTTTCATATCTCGGTTTATATCTTTTTAAGAACAATATTTAAGGAAACCTATTAGAAACTCGATTTCATGGTTAAGCATGATTTGTTCTTTTGTAGAACTAATGATTTTTATCAAGTTCTTTTTTTATACTAAATACTTCCGACAAAATTGACCAAAATTCAGAAATACAGGTCTTCAAACTGCAAACTGCAAAGAATGACATTTACCATTTCAGAGTGATGTTGATGACGTTAATTAGCTTTAAAATCAACGAAAAAATAAGTTTCCTAGAAAAGCATTAGCAGGATTTCATATGGCTTCAAATAAGACCATGTCAGACTTGAATCATGTCGACTATTTTACGCAAGCAGGTTCACGTTTGGATTTTATTTTAAAGTCAGAAAAAAAACCAACGGTTATGCTTACGTCTTATTAAACATAATAGTCTCTCAATTTTAATGGATCACTTAGTAAATCCCAAATTTATCTAATACCAAGCAAACTAAACGGTAAAGTAATAAGTTCCTACCTTTTCGACGAATCCAGGCGCCACCTGTCTTTGCTTAAGATTGGTTTCTCCATCCAGATGTCCTGTATCAATGTAACATATACCGTTAGGATCACTGGATCGTAAAAGAAGGATATCAGCAGGAACTACTTCATTATTCGAAAGGTGGATCAAATCACCGACACGCACTTCCTTCCAAAGGACTTTTTTATACCGATCTATCTCACTGAAACAAAAGAAAATATCGATAAACATTCCAATAAACTAATAGAAAGAAAGTAAAACATATAAATATGTATTTCCAGAAATCTGAATCCAGTTTTAATTGCTTCAGGTCCTAATTTGATTCCTTAACTCATGAAATTTTGTACATACATTATAAGGAGTAACTAAAATGACATATGGGTGCTTTTCATCTAAAAAAAAAACATACTTTTCCAGAGGGATAGAAAAAATTAGTTTTATGTGGTCGTCGATGATCTTTGACATGTATTTAGGACATCAACGCGAGCAATTCCGCACATACACATATTTAGGAAAGAATGAGTTCCACTCCATATTTATCAGTAGCATACTTAGTTAAAATCAAAAGCAAATTATTAGTTGAAAAAATTTTGGGTGCATAATCTCAATTACTTATTTATTAATTTTATTAATAACGTAATTTAAGTAAATTACAAACGCGGCATTAATTTGTAATTTAATGACGAGACAAAGAACATTATCAATAGATAATTAATAATGATATTAATGATAATTTATAAAAAGGTCAATGTCTTTCGTCATGCACTTATGTAAAATCAATACATGTAACATGGGTGCTTCCTTATTTAATTTGTTGTCAGAAGTCAGAGCCATGTAAATAATAATAGAAAAACTTTTTAAAAGGTCAAATGGAACTTATAATGTAAATATAAAATTAAGAATAACGTATTGTTATCAAATAATTAATTGGAAACATTAGACTTTGTCAAAAAAAATCCTTTGCAATTTTCAAAACAGACACTGATACCACTGTTAACGTGTTAATGATTTATTTATCGGAAAAACCCACCGTCGCTTTTATTTTAATAATGAAAATATGACATAATCTTGTTAAAATTCTATTTATTTAAAGTTCTCAGTAGTTTTACGTTTTGTGTAGGTGCATGTATAATTAAGCAGGTATCACTGTCATATTTTACTCGAGCACGTTTCGATTTTACGTTTGTTCGACAACGGTTGGTTGTGAATCGTATATCCTACTTTGGGAAAATCCTTGACCTATGAAAGAAAATCCATTCGAAAAATCCTTGACCAGAAACAACGACCTGCATGAAAAGTCATGCACAGTGTGCAGGTGTAGTGCTTTAATACACTGATGTCATCACTGTGTAAACATTCGTTCCCCAACCCACACATGTCACTAATAATAATTCTTGTTTCTGTAGGCCAATAAAAACAATACGAGCTGTACAGGATGTAGATGTCTCAAGAAATTGGACATTTTGGAATACGGCAAGCAAATCACCTAACGGTAAAGACAAGCGAAAATCCAACAATCACATGAGTGCCTTTTGGATCGATCTACTAATAAAAAAGGTCAAAGGTAATGGTTAAAGAACTGTAAATGATTTCACAGGATGACACGGCAGGACAATAAAATAGAACGCAAGACGCTACTCCAAAAAACAAAAAGGACATATGATCGAAACACTCTAAATTATTACTTTTATAATAATCAAAGAAATGAAATATGAAGTGTGAAAAAACCTGTAATTATTAATGGAGAGAACCAACAGGATTATTACGTACGTTGGCATTTTTAGGTCAAATAGTATCAATATTTTCTTAATGGCTAAAAACATTCCTTTATTCAAATTATTCGACACACTTATACAGGATTATTTATAAGCAGTCATAATAAGTATGTCAACAGCAGACCCTACAAATAAATTGTTGCAGATTCTTATTTCCCATCCGATTCATCAACAAATTTTGAACATTTGGGTTTTTCAAATATTATTTATTTATTCGTGTATTTTGTCCCCTTCAAAGTTTTGCTGTTTTTTCCAATCCTCGAAGTACTTCAAAAGATCATTTTTTGTGAACTTGTTCAGCTCCTCCTTCAATGCCGTCATTATCTCCTCAATTGTAGAGTAGCGTCGTCCTTCCACGGGCCTCTTCAGTTTCGGGAACAAGAAAAAGTCACAGGGGGCTTCGTGCAAATTGCGCATATCTTGCAGGTAAAAATCCCTTATTAACCGTTCTACCCTGCGACAAGAACTCAAGAAGCACCACGCCCCTGCAATCGAAGAAAACTGTAAGCAAAACTTGGGGCGCTTTTTTCGGTCTTGGCTCGTGCAGCAGCTTTCATTGGGATGATTGAGCTTTGGTTTCCACGTCATAAACATAAAGCCATGATATTCGTCACCAGCTACGACCCTCTGGAGTAAATTTGGGTCGTCGCGGACAGAATCCAACAGCTCCTTAGCAATGTTAATGCGATGCTGGTCGAACTTGAGCAATTTTGGTATGAATTTCGCAGCGACCCGTCTCATGCCCAAATCATTGATAAAAATCGAATGGCAGGAGTCAATCGATATGCTTAGGTCCTCAACAACTTCTTTAACGGTGATTCGACGATTGGCCAATACTATTTTGTTCACTTCATCAATGTTTTCTTCTGCTATTGACCTGCTAGGGTATCCGACACGCTCTTCCTTGTACACATCCTCTCGGCCCTCTGAGGACGTTTTGTACCACCGATAAACGTTGTTTCGGTCCAAGGTATCTTCACCATATGCCACAGTCATTTGTTTTTCACACAAAATTTGATACAGATTCTTTGATCCATTTTTTGGAATAGACAAAAATCGAAGACAATAAGCCAAAACAGGTGCAAGCAAAGCAGCTGTGAGAGACATGTGTACCGACATAACGCCATTAAAAAATCAAAAATCGGATTTACATAACCCGCGAAAATTCAAAATTCGCGATACTTTTTAAATAGACCTCGTACATACAATCCATAATCGTTTTTTAACCATTACATAAGGACAACATATTTTGGTTAATTCCGACCCCACCATAACAGTAATATTATTTATTACATTACTTTTCCCGTAAAAATTATAAATAATGAGTACAAACAAACAGTCAACTAAATCACCATAGATTTTATTACCATTGTAACAAGATCAATCTTTTTCTATATACAACTTGAATTTCAAGGTTTACCACAAGGATATTTCTTCTTGCAAATAAAACATTTGGCATTATATGTGTATGTACAGTTTGTATACTATATTAGCATAAATTTCTACCTTCCATAAACCTTCAACGTTTCCTTTGCATATAGTTCTAAATGTAACTAATTGTAAGGCCACGAAATAGAAAAACAAAAAGGACGAAAATGAAAATAAAACTTTTTCGTTACCATTATTGATAGTCATATACCAATTAATCCCTTCTTGTGTGTTAATTAGTAGACATAACATTAACTAGCAAACTGTGTTTATTACACTTATAAGGGTACAATTACGTGATCGGTCGGTTTATTTAACAGCAAATTTTTACATAAAAATGTGCACATTACTAGCAATTTCGTTATTTATTATTCCATTTCGCTAAAGCCGTCTAATAACAAGTCTACGAAGTGCTTCGTTATACGGTTAATAAATAAAAAATAGGCAACCTACCCAGTTGTTCATCAATAATACAAACTTGCGTGATTCAATGATTACAATCGCATTATACGTTATTAGATTGTCGATAAGAAAACTGGCGTAAAAAGTATGCAGGCATTGAATTAGGCAGGCATATCATAAGTATACCTGTCAATAGCGAATGATTAATTTCTTTATCGAGGGAAATCAGGAAGCTAATTCTCTTTTTATTACTAGGTAATTCAACTAGAAGAAAAGACAAGGAAATTCTACAAAACGTAGTACACGTTCCGACCAGATTTATTAATTATACATACATTAAATAGAGTGAAATTGAATTGAAAAGGGATTCTGATTAGGGAACGTCTTGAAATTGAAAAATATTGTGCAAGTCTTCAAGACACTATCGTCTCTATAATTTTCTAACATAGTTGAAGAGCTAAACTGTATGTAACATTATTATTTTTAGGGTAAAAGCAATATATTAATTGATAATATTTTTCGTCAACTTATTACAGTAGTTGTTGACGCATGGTACGCTAACTTATCCTTGTGCTTAACTCTTTTTAGTACGATTTTTTTACTAAAAGGTCATTTAAATGTATGGATGATGTAAACGAAAATGTATTCAAACAAACGTAATAAGGAACACTACCAAGTATAATATAGCACAAATATCACGTCAGCAATATAGAAATCGTATAAAAATCTATCGACACAAAGCAAAAAAAGGAAGGAGTGCAAAAGTGACCAATTTTAACCCAGTGAGTCCCATAGAATTCAAAAATATCAGTTCAAATTTAAAATCGTTTTATGTCAAAGGAATATAGCTTTTTATTATGAAATCTTAAAACCCGTATGAAAGGCTAAAGTTATTTTAAGATTTAACGTTTAAGATCAAGAACATTTCCAATTAGCAATGAAGTTTCTCTCTCTAGCTCTTTCTATAGCTAGAGTCAAAAACATATATTCCCATTTAGTGTAAATGACCATAAGGTATCTTAAAGTACCTTAAAGGTCAAGATCATATCCAAGGTCACCAATTGATTGCCCCTTCGAAAACATCTAAGTAAAACTTTTTTCGAAATAATGAAATTCAATCAAGATATTTTATGTCCTTAAGGTAATAGACAAACCCTGTATTCTATGTTCCTTTGACGTAATATTGTTTAAAGTAGCATTAATGAATTCTGTGGAATGATAACTCAACTTGCCGAAATTGGCCACTTTTGCACTTACCCATTTAAGATAAACGTGTGCAAGAAAGATGCCTGTCCATATACATACTATTTTATTGAGCTTTTATTGATGAAAGTTATAAAACTATTGCATCCATGCTGAAAGAACCTTGACACTTACTTTACACATTTTTTTAATTATATTGTATATTCACGACTGCCTTCGTCTGCATATCGCAATACTAATCGCATAAGCAAGCATTTAGTTTTGAAACTGATGTATTAAGCAAAAGTTTTATTACACAATACTACTTGTCGAGCCCATTCAGAAATTAACAAGTAGCCGTAAGCCGTTGCTTTTGCGTTAACAAAGAAAACCCCTAGATACACATTTTTTGAGGCCTTGACTAATAACAGCCAAATAAATATTCAAATATTCGATGCAATTAATTTAAGTATACCTATACAACAATCTTCATTAAAAATCCTTTTTAGAATAACAGAAACATGATACAAATCAATTAAAAAATGAACTGTAAAATATTTGCATTAAAGATAATTTGTATGTAATAACGGTGAAGTCAGTGACTTACACGTGTAAAACAAATTATCACGATGTTATTAAGTTATCTCTACAAGTACATAAAGGATCTTCCAAAAATCTCACGTTGTTTCAAATACATTATCTTCCTTTGTATGATTTTTGAACAGTTTAAAACAACACATAATATAAATATTTTAATTTATTATCATGCATATATATTATATTGACTTAACAAGTCCTTTTACGATTAGTGAAGCGTTTAAAATACTAAAGGAAAGTCACGTCAAATCCTAGAAACATTTAAGGAATTAATGGCCAAAAGTTCAAACAAATAATCGTTCCTTTTATTTATTATTAATACCGACCTAAAAAATACATTAGAATTAATTTGCGTTCTTTTGTAGAAATTTATAAGGTTTATTCAGTTTTCCTTCAATTGATATCCTTTTACAGATTTTAACTTAAGATTCAAGGTTCTACGTACCTGTACCTATCATTTTCTTAGTACTAAAAGTACGATCTTACTTTATACATACATATGTATAAAGAGTGGAGCTATAATATTATATTGCATATAAAAAAAGCGTAATTTTTAATAAATTTGAGAAATAATCTCAACCAGTTTCCCTATTTATAGATAAGATTATTTATTTATACAATATGTTTTACAGTGAATGTATTAAAAATTGGATTGGCTCTCATCAGTCCTTAAATCTCATTTAAAATTTAAATTTCTAATAGATGACCCCACAATCTCATTTTTGCGAACTAAAAAACAAAACAATCTGCACATTACCTTATATTATGTCATAGTTTTGATAAGATTATTATGAGAAAAAGGTAAAATTTAATGTCACAATTCCTTCAATATATGCATTGGTCATAAAACACGTCCGTATTTTATGAGACCCAGGAATTCGCTGCAAATGTTCCGGGTTTTAGAGAGCAGGTTGTACGATTACCCAACAATAAAAGAAAGAGTTGGTACAGTTCCTTGACCTTAACGTGGATAACTGTTTAACAACGAGTCAGAAAAGAAAGAGCAGCAATTTTCCATATGTTGTTGATTCAAGTAATTTTTACAATTATTTATTATGCAACTAATTTAATGGGAAGTAGTCAAAAGCCATTTATTTAATCAAACACGTACAGTAGGTAAATGTCATTTTAACAAAAATAATCGTCTAAACTTTAACCATACTAGAATAATTGTATTATTTAACAAGATTCTAGACACTTAACATTGTGTGCGAAGAACTAACACCGACGTTTCGCCTCTATTTGGGAAGCTTCATCATGGTAAAGAACCCACCTTGTTAAAATCTCCCAAATAATTGCGAAACGTCAGTATTGATTCCTAATACAAACANTAAAGCAGAGGATAGCGCAGGGTCGTGTCGCCTTTAATAAAAAGAAGTCACTTCTATGCCCGCGAACGGTTAATTTAGAAATTCGAAAAAGATTGTTAATGTTGTTAATGGTGTATGTTTGGAGCGCGACGTTCTAGGGGTGCCAAACATGAACAGTAGGCGCGGGGGAAAAGAAAAGGTTAGAAGCCTTAGAAATGTGGTGTTATAGGCAAATGATGAGGATAACGTAGGTAGAATAGGTTAGAAATGAAGAGATATTACAAGGAATATGAGAACAGAGGACTCTATGGAAGTCCATAAAAAATAGGCGAGATAGGTTGGTAGGACATCTTGTCAGGCATGAAGGTCTAGTCAGAGAAATATTAGAGGCAGAAGAAGGAGTTGGAAGGGGTAGAGGTAGACCTAGGTTAGATTACTGTTCGTAAATAGTTAAGGATGTGGGTTGTTCTAGTTTTAGGGAAATGCGAACTTTAGCTCAGGATAGGAAAGAGTGGAGGTACGTGTCCAACCAGTCTTAGGACTGACCACCTTATGATGATGATGAAGGTGTAGGTACTTGCCTTCAAGATTTCGATACGATTTCTGAATCGCTCTATATAAATATATGTGAAAATCGTAGCGAATTCTAGCGTGCGTCAAAAAAAAGATTGTCACTTAAGATATGTGTATTTCACTGTAAATAAGAGTCCACACTATGCATGTTTGCACTATATCGTACGTACAAAATAAATACCTAGGTACTTGCATGTACAGTACATCTACCATTTCATTGAAATAAATTAGTACGCGTGGAAGTATTTGGGTTAATGTGTTAGACGCATAATGGCGAATAATAATACAGAATGACCAATTGATTCCATAATCACATGTACTGTTAGTTACTTTAGATATCCTGTTATTGAACATATGTGAAGTAAGTAATTGAGATAATGCAGCAACAGCCCAATTTTATTACTCAACATTTTCTCGGTCACAATTAAGCAAGGCAATTATAAAAACACGCAAAACGATTACACATTTTTAATTAAGAATAACAATTAACACTCATTAGAAATTCCCATGGACAAGCAAACTGTCTATAACGATACCTACTTACTAAAGAATATTTGATAACAGAAATGTAAAGCTTTTTTTACGCATACATAACAGTATAAAAAAATAATAAACATAAAAATGTATTGTGGGGCCTTTTTATCGATAAATGTAGTATTAATAATAATAATAATTTACATTCCAGGTAAATAAAATCTTCACCTTATAAGGAAATTTGTAAAACATTTTAAAACAAACTCATACATTCATTTAATATTTATGATACTATTGCACGAACCGATGGCCCCTATCCCGAAAATACGAAATTACCATTATTTCAGGGACAAAAGTGAAACATTCCTTCCCAGATAAAGAAATTGCATTTATTCGTTAGAAAAAACATATTGTTAAATAAACCATTCAATGTAAAGTGTTGTCGATATTCAGTCCCTAATTCAGTCATAGGGTCATAGTTAGAATGTGATAGCAGCCCACAGGCAGAATCATTGCATTACAGTAAAGAGGAACGCCGTGGTTAAAATAGTGTTACTTACCAACCCCGGATATGTTACTTACCTTGCTTGCATCTGATTTAATACTTACAATTAAATTATTTTCTTTAAAAACTAAAAAGGTCGCCCCTCAAAAAAGAATACGGCGGAAGTTACATAGCAAAAAAAGACTAACCTGTTGTATATCCGGCAAGTGGAGTTGTTGACCCTCTTATCACTGGTGTACCTCCTACGATCCTCAAACAAGTCTTTCACAGCCGAAACTCCAAGCACAAAAAGTACCGGAACCATCGCGATCTCTTTACCGAACGCGTTTATTGCCGGAAACCAATTCAACAAAACAATAAAAATGAAATACAAATTCGCCACCCGGTGGAACTGTTCGAGCAAATTCCGGGGTAGAAACGATAACAACGTATACTTGGTGGTCCTCACTTTATTGTTGGGACGCTTTCCATTCGGATGTTCCTTACGCGGAGTCTTAGGAGGCACTATATGATTAGGCACCACGATTCGAAACCGTTCTTCCTCATTTCGCGGATACTTTCGCAACAGAAAACACATAAGTCTCCTCCACAGAGGCGGTGGAGCACTTCTTCTAAGAAATCTCACGTTGTTTCAAATACATTATCTTCCTTTGTATGATTTTTGAACAGTTTAGAAATTCACATAATATAAATATTTTAATTTATTATCATGCATATATATTATATTGACTTAACAAGTCCTTTTACGATTAGTGAAGCGTTTAAAATACTAAAGGAAAGTCACGTCAAATCCTAGAAACATTTAAGGAATTAATGGCCAAAAGTTCAAACAAATAATCGTTCCTTTTATTTNTCTGGAGTGAAGGTATATGTTGAACACTGTTGAGGGTTGACGGCAGGAATCGAGGGTGAATTCGGTTGAGGAACTGTATCTGTTACATTCGATGGACCGGGACCCGTGAAGGACATTTTTTAACATCTGGAACAATAGCAGAGGTGCTTTTTGCAAATGGTGTTCGCGAACTTTAACGTTTAGATTAAAGCGAACAAAGTTTTTAATGCGTTCATGTAGAAAAATCTTAAGTAATTAAATTCTATTATTAACATTCAAAACCTTTCTACTTATAGACTGGCATACGTCGAATACTTATCAGACGTTCATTTGTAAAGTTCTTAGACCCTTCAGTTCCTATAAATAACCAAAATGTTCTGCTGATTTATAAGCTTTGAAAATAATCTTTACTAATTGTTACTTTAAAGAAAAGAAGTTACATTTAGATGTAAATTAAGAACAAAGGATTCAAACATAAAAAGATAAATGCAATACATGAGGACCCCTTTTTTGAATTCGGTTGAAAAAATGTCCAGGAATGTAAGTACTTCGAATTTGATTTTTTAGTATTTAAACTAGACGTGTTTTTCTTATATAGTACGATCATTATCTTATATGTATATTTACATGCTAAACGATGCCTATCAACTCATCGTCATTTAGAAACCATTATGAATACTTAATTGCAGATTTCAACTGCCCATTAGAGAAGTCCTATATTGTAAAAGAAGAATGATCATGGTGAAAGAGAAGCCCGCCTGTGTTAACATTTAGTTTAATTTTCAAACCTATTAAGTAAGATAGTATATTAAAGTCAGTTTACTCTTATAATATGTATGTGATGATACCTTAAAATGCCTAATTATACATGCATATTGAAGAGAAACCAAATTAGGTATTTTTGTTTTAATTTTATAAAACTATCTTGGGGTAGCATTGATATGAGAAAGACATATGCATTTCTAGCGTAAGTGATTTTAAATAGCATTTTTAAAAAGATATTTTAAAAATTACGAAAATAGATCCTTTTTTCCGAAACTACTGAAAATTTTTAATTCTTTTGGACTGCCTTAAGAAAAGAAGTTTTTCAAACGTTGACTAATGAAGTTTACAGTACAAATTAACGTTCCGGGGACTGATTAAACTTGTTCGCTATAACCGAAGGTAATAAGGTAATTATCCTACTCAAAGTCAATAACGGATAATACATACTTCCCTGGCGCTTTTTACTATGCTCAAGAGTTCGTTTTATACATATTATTTTCGTCGTAATATCCGATATCGTTATAAGCAGTAGGTACCACGTTTAAAAAGTAATATTTCCAACCAGAACTTTGAATTTCGTTGGATGTTAATAATATAGTCGAAAGAAAACGTTAGTCTAATAAAAATTAAACACCTTATCAGGCAAGAAGGGCTTAGTTAGATACATACTAGAAGCAGAAACAAGAATTAGAGGCAGTAGAAGCAGATTTCTAGATCAGAGCTCAAGACAGGAAGAAGGGAAGTCTTCTGATTGAAAACCATAAGATAAGATGATAATGAACCACCATATCGTTAAAAACAACTAACGAGTCCTACCATATTTTGATTTTAACTAATCGTAAAAGATTTAACAACATTTTGAATTGTATACTAGCAATGCACAAAAACATTATTTGCAGTTCATCGAAAGTTTCGTACGTTCGAAAACGGAAGTTTTTAATGACGCACAGGAAAACTTTAAAACGTGCTGATTAACTTCTGAAGTCGCGGAATTTCAAGAGCTTGCTGAAAACACAAGCACAATATCACACGCTATGCTGCACAGCATGATACGGAAACAAAGTAAAAAAAAATTCAACCCACGCGGTTTTGCAGTTGAAACGATTTCAGATCACGTTATGAGAAATAAAACATTCGAGGATATCACGTTACAAACTGCAATCATATTCACTTTTGCAACAAAAGCAAAATAAAAAAAAAAGAAAGGTAAGGTATCTACAAAACAACCTGGTAACTCGTACTTAATAAAAACACAAAAGAAATAAAAACCAGAAGGGGAGAAGGGTCTTGGGACTCATGATCATTTCCAAAAATACTGCTCATCTTTCTCTACGATTTTTCGTTAATCAAAGAGAAATTTTGGAAGCTTTCATACAAGGATAAGAATAAATATAGTAAAAATAAGTGTAGTTTGTCCATACGTGCCGCTAAAGCTCCCCGCAGCCTCATGAGGGTTATATTTATATTGTAAGATAGCATTCCATCCCCCGAATATAAGGGTTAAAGGACTATCGCCACAAAGGACTACGCAAAAGGAGTCAATAAAGGCATTAATTACGACAATGTTTTGGAATTTCCTAGAACTAATTTTTTCTAGGCGAAGCAAGGGTAATCCGGCTTTTTAAAAAATAAATACTTGAGAATATCTTTTTTATATTAAATTTAGGATTTTGAATAATGAAAGTTACTGCAGCCAAGAGAATGTTGTTTATCTAATATCTCGAATACTTTTTATACCAAAGTTGTATATTGTTATAGTCTAACCAAAAGTACCTACCAAAAAATTTTGCGTAAAAAGTTTTTGGATATTCTAAACGCCTTGGTCTTTTGTAAGTAGTTGTTCCTGATAAAAACAATTTTAACGATAAACTAAACTTGCGATAGCTCAAACTTTTATCTATTTACTTTGAAAAAAATTTGTTTTCTACATGCATAATGTATGTTATCTACAGCAAAAAATATCTTTTGCAGTAAAAGTTATTACACCTACTGATACGTATTCAAAAGTAGGTACCTATGTAGGTAGTTCCATTTAATTACTTTAACTGTACTTTACCATGTATACCTACATAGTATAGATAGAATATAGGAACACATTTTAAAAGAAATGACCCCTTTCTAGAACTATTTTTATCATAAATGTAACCATACATATATATTATGCAAACAGGGATGAGTGAAAATAAACTTTACGAAAAATAGATCATATGGCCTGAATATTTATCCCTAAATTGCAACAAATAATACGGATATGGATTAGGACGATAATTCTACATATGCATTAATTAATTTAGAGATGCGTGAATTATAATAGTTAAATATGATACTCAACCTATGTCTTATGTAGTTAGGTACCTATCTAATTTAGACAAAAGGTAAAACTAAGAAATACCTTTTTCTTTAGTCCCTCTTCATTTGCAAGAACATAATCCAAAGTGTAATTATATTTAAAAGATGAAATTTTCACTTAAAAGTCTATTAAAATTTAATGTTTCGCTTCACTTTTATAAAGGATCGCCAGCGACAGTACCGTCTATGTAATTTTCTCGAAGCACACACAAATTCACACTAGCATATCACTAAACACTATTTCTTCGCAGACGACAGACGATATCATACAAACATTACCACTACGAAATTGTAGAAGTTGCTCTCTCCCTGACCAACCAGAACCCATTTTAATCTCCCTCCAGCTGTAAACAGTCATGTAACCTTTACAGCAAACTTCAAAATACAGCTTAGCCAACTGTTCTACAAAATTCGTTCCATCAATTATAAAAAATGATAAAGTTTAAATAATTAAACATTTGGTTTTCAATAACACTTGCCTTATTTTGAATAGGCAATCTGTTTTTAAATGTATCCTCGAATATTAATGATCTCAAAAGCTTTTTAATTTTTATAAAATTTAATTTGTAATGTTGGTTGTATAAATTTCATTGACGTCGGCGTTTTCTGTCAATCTTCGCCATCCCACCGAAAGAGTTGTTCTTAATCTTCCTAATAATAATTAATAACTCATTCTGAGTGGTATTTGTTCTTGTTTAGTGTATAGTTAATTGATTAACGTCACCATGGATGAAGAATATGATGCTATTGTGTTAGGCACAGGATTAAAAGAGTGTATTTTAAGTGGTATGCTATCAGTTTCAGGCAAAAAAGTATTACATGTTGATCGCAACAAATATTACGGCGGGGAGTCGGCTTCCATCTGTCCGCTAGAAGAACTTTTTTCAAAATTTGGTGCTCCACCACCGGATGAGTCTTACGGAAGGGGCCGCGATTGGAACGTTGACCTAATCCCCAAATTCTTAATGGCCAACGGACTTTTAGTAAAACTGCTTATTCATACAGGCGTCACACGTTATCTTGAATTCAAATCTGTAGAGGGAAGCTACGTTTATAAGGGAGGAAAAATATCAAAGGTAGTTTTTATAATTTGCATTGGTTAAAATTTTGTTTGTAATTATCAATTTTCTGCAAGGTTCCGGTTGATCAAAAAGAAGCACTGGCATCTGACTTGATGGGAATGTTTGAAAAACGACGTTTTAGAAATTTCTTGATCTATGTTCAAGATTTTTCGGACGCTGATCCAAAAACATGGAAAGATTTTGACCCTAACACACAAAATATGCAAGCACTTTATGACAAATTTGGTTTGGAGAAAAGTACTCAAGACTTCACTGGTCATGCTTTAGCACTTTACAGGAATGATGATTATCTAAATGACCCTGCTGTAAATACCATTAAAAGGATCAAACTTTATTCTGACTCTCTTGCACGCTATGGAAAATCTCCTTACTTGTATCCAATGTATGGCTTAGGAGAATTACCACAAGGTAAACCTTAAAATGAATTATTCCCAATCACAAACAGTAATTGTATGTTTAATTTCACTTTAGTATGTCTAGCGGTCTTTTTTATAATGTTTCTTTTCATAAATGTCTGTTTATAATTAGCAACAGACTATGCTGATGAATTCTGTATTAATTGGAGCATGACAAAGCCAGTAAACGAATTGAAGCTTTTTATTTTCCTTATAGCAACAGCAGCTACTGGTGCAAAGAATTATGTTTGCTTTCATCACATTATCTTTATAACTTTTATCTCTTAATTATTATTATTAAAAGATTTTCTCGAAAGCCAATTAATGGATTTTCTGAATAGTAGTAGCTTGTTATTACCTGTTTATCATAAAAAGTTATCCTATGACCCTTGAAATCTAATTTGCTATGTTTTATTAAGGTTTTGCTAGATTGTCAGCGATCTATGGGGGTACATACATGTTAGATAAGCCGATTGATGAAATAGTAATAGGTGAAGGGGGTAAGGTAGCGGGAGTTCGTTCAGGAACCGAAGTGGCGAAATGTAAACAGGTTTATTGTGATCCCAGTTACGTGCCAGATAGGGTACGTAAAAGTGGCCAGGTGATCAGGTGCATTTGCCTCCTGGATCATCCCATAGCCAACACCAAAGATGCCCTTTCCACCCAAATAATCATTCCTCAAAAACAAGTGGGTCGTAATTCAGATATTTATGTATCTCTTGTAAGTTACACCCACCAAGTGGCAGCCAAAGGGTGGTTTATAGCCATGGTCTCAACCACTGTAGAAACCGAGAATCCTGAAAACGAAATCAAACCAGGATTGGATTTGTTGGGCTCCATAAGACAAAAATTCGTCTCCATTTCCGATTATTACGTACCTACTGATAATGGACTCGACTCTCAAATATTCATATCTGAATCGTTCGATGCAACAACGCATTTTGAAACGACCTGTTTAGACGTATTGGACATATTCAAAAGAGGTACCGGCGAAGAATTCGACTTTTCGAAAATCAAGCACGAACTAGGCGACGAAGAATAATCGATCGATCTACTGACGGTGCTAATTTGTTCTTAGTTATTATTATCATCGTGATTTTATCATAATACATGCAAATTATTACAACATACTAGATTATGATTACTATTGATTATTATACGATATAAATGAAAAAATTATATGAAACGAAAGATGTGCGTAATCTGCTGTCGTAGTAATTTATGAGTAAATGGCATTTTCCAAATGTATGTTTATACAATACATCCATATAACTCTTTCAGATATAATGCAATCCTGTAGTTTGTTGGGATTTATGTTTAATATAAATAATTACAATTAAATATAAACGTTGCGCCACCGAATTTAATTTAGTAAAATTTTCTTAAGGTGCTGTGTTATAAGTGGACTTTTTTTTTATTTTATTACCGATATTCTTTATTTTTTTGCACCATATAAGCCCCACTACTATTACCATAAGTACATAAAATAAATCGAGCTTAAAGGTTTGCCCTTGGCGTTGTACGCTACAGGGCTTTGCATTTATCCAAATTGAAAAAGAAACGAAATTAATGAAAAACCAAAGTTTGAATATTTCCGATAATAGTTTTAAAGTTGATTTACCACTCAATAAACCTCAAAAATAGATTTAATTACATGTAAGCTTTATTTGTTTTTTTTTGAGATGTTAAAAATAGTCTGCTTGCAGGTTGTTATAATATTGTAATATTAATGATTAATAAGGAGAAATAGAACAAGTAAATTGTAGCAACTAATCGTTAAATAGTAAATTTTCAGATACGAATTGATAATAAGAAAAGAATTGTATGTATTGCGAATGTATTTTTAGTTATCCAAAAGTCTTTTTTTATTATTAATATCTATTTTAAAGAATGAGGGAGGTACCGATGTATTTGTCTTTTTTTATATACGAATAAATGAACAAATAAGAGGAAAAACCTATAATTGTATGTCACTGGCTTTGCATTCCAAGCTAAGATAGAAATAAGAACACAAAAATGTCTATAGTTAAATGCTTATCTGCATGGTGATCTTAATATCGTCTAGAGGACTTTTTCTTGTGATTTTTAGTTAGTTTTACTTATTTTTTTTTTCTTATGAAGGGCGTCTATATGCACATGTCTCTCCTCGGTGATGGTATTAAGGTTTTACCGATATTTAAAACAATTGTCGTGAATCTGGGATAAAAATAAAAGCTTCGTAAATATATTGGTTATTTTTTATTTTAATGCCTTCTTCCAAAATAAAGAATAGGACATTTTTCTATTTGTTTAATAAAAATGTATATTGCTTATAAACAAAATACATCGGGTTCCAGCAGAATATATTTCTTGTACTCTTGGGGTAAATACTTATAAAATATAGAAATTCCAAGTATACTGAAAATCTGAAGTTTTCAGTTCTTTTTGTTATGCTTTCATGCAGACGCTTTTTGCCCTACAACCTTTGTATATTAATCACAACCAAATATCAAACCCTCTTCAAACAACGCCGGCCGTGAACGCTAGGCTTACCCTATTTTTCAACCATTTCCAATTGAAAAACAATATAAATTATTATCATTACATCCAAATAAAATTCTATTATCATACATAATCGGTGAGCAAAATATTTCATCATTCATTTTAATTTCTTGTAATACTTTTTGTTCAAAGAAATCTATCAGAAAAACTACTCCACCGTTCGTAACAGCAAATATATAAGTGTTTTCTTCATATTTGAATATACAGGGTGTCGAAGATATTTCACAATTCAGACATATTTTGAATGATAGAGAGCAACTCTTATTATCATCAGCTACAAGAACACTATAAACGTTTTTATCTTTACAACCAAACAAAAAATAATTCTCAAAAGTTGTTATAGAAGAATAGATTTGATTTTGGGCCTTATAAGTCCATACCTTAAAAAATTAAAAGCAGTTAATCCGAAAGTTAAGTCAGTATAAAATTTATTTGTACCAAATCTCCTGTTGTACATTTGGTACAATGAACGACTCCTTCAACTTCAGGCCATAAAATACAATCATCATGACCCAATTTTTCAAAACTGCAGGGTGAACCCATTACAGGGGAATTTACTGAATACTTCCACAACATTTTGCCATCACTTTCACTCAAGCAGAAGCAAATTTTATTCGAAGACGCCAAATAAACTGTTTTTAGTTTAACATTATATACCGGATTTACTGATATTGAAAAACCAACATTATGTTTCCATATTAAATTCCCACCCTAATTATTGTAAAAAAGAATTAAACAAAACTTTTTTGATAAATCGCTTATAAAAAAAATCTTAAACACTACAAAAAATTTAGAAAGACTTACATCTGTAGAAATGCAGTATGCATATCCATCATATGATCCAAATACAATTGCTTTCCTTCCAAGACAAAAACATGGTCTACTTTTTATGATGCCATTGGTTCTAAAGCTCCAAATCTTCTGACAATTTGTGATATCTACACAATACATACTGCCATTCAAACATCCCACGTAAGCTTTTCCGAAATCTCCTACACAAATACCTCCCTGGACTGGCTCAGGAAAAATCATTTCCGACATCATTTGACCTGTATCGAAGTTTATGACGGCAAAAACTTGATAAAAACTGACACACAAAACTAGATATTGATTTCTAAAAACAAAAATAATTAACGGGATTTGTTCTAACAAATAAGGTGACTAATACCATTTTTGGCACCGGTAGAAGCAAAGTATTTTACATTTTTTGATAAAATATAATTCCTTAGTTAACTAGTTCTATGATATACATACAGGCAGATTAACATCGACTACTTAGCGAATTAAAAAAAAATGGTTTGTTACTTTACACTGAATTTAATTAACTTACTTGTATTTAATAACCATGGGTGAAGTGTTTATGCAACCCTTTAAATCGTAGTACCATTTTAACTTCAATTCTACATTTCCATTCTTTTTTAAGACTTTAAAACGATTATTTTCACCGGATGTACTTTCAGTTGCACTTAATTTACGTTTATATAAACGAGAAAAATTGTTTTCAACATAATTAAATGACTGATAAAAAGATGAATTAAGAATAAGCTTGTGCAATTCTTCCGAGATCTTTATATGAAGCATATTTTCTAATTCGTTCAGAAATTGTATAAAAATGAACGATGTGCCTCCCAATTCAAAAAAGTTAAGATCCTTATACGTTTTCAAAGTTTCTATATCTAAACCCAAACTTTTTGCGAATAGCTTTTTGAATGTTTGGCTAATATTACAATTAATTAACTGATTATTATTTTGAATAGACAAATAGTTATTTANTAAAGATACACGATATACCTTCTAGTGTCTTAGAAAAACGCCTTCACTCTCAACATTCTACATATAACGTTAAATTAAAAATTTCCAAATTAATACTATATAAAAACGTAGGTGTAACACATTAATTGTCATGAATTGTAATTGCCCTCTTTTAATGAAGGCAAATTTGTAATTTCACTGCTACTTTTTAAATAGCCCTAATTATTATTTAAGAAAATTTCGTTTTAAAAAATGGTACCTACTTCTTTCACGATTGTGTGTAAAAACTAACTGAAAAGGCATGAAGTTTCAATATTTTTATCTATTCTGCTGGCTATTAACGTAGAAAACATTTTTGTCACTTTATTCTCTTGCTAACTGCAGTATTTTAAAGTATGATTTTTTTTGCACCGTAACACATAATCAAAATAGGAAACAAAAACAACGGTACCGACCCATTGCATAGATATTTCTAATTTTGTAAACGTTGTTGGTACAATTATGTATTCAGGTTATATAAACACGAATTTGATTTTTATAAAACAAGTTTTAAACATTTATTGCATTTATCAAATACCTACGTCTTTTGTTCGTCGTAATTAATTCAGCCACTGTCATTAAAATAACTTAATAGTCTACATTGTTCGAATAAATGTAGTTGTTATAAAAAGTTTTTATTTATTTTTAATTGCCACACTGCGTTATTGAAACAGTTACCACCTTTTTACTTATTTTGTATTTAATAAAATGGTAATTGGTTATGCACGCCATTGGAAAACAATTGTTTTCCTGCCTAATGAAATCTAATTATATCTACAAAGCATACAAAGATAAACTAACATGATTTTTGTTTCAGAAAAAAAAATGAGTTCTGTTACCGAAAACAACAACACTTTCTTTCTTCAAAAGAAATTCACTCCGGACGTTTCCGACAGGGAATTATACCTTCATGCGAACAACTATCCCTCCCTGGTATCGATAGAAAATTTGAGTAATAACAATAACAATAATAATAACAATAACAACAACCAAACGGACACAGACAAAAACATCAATGATGTTTGGACAAAGGATAATTTTATGAAAAAGAAAGCACAATGTGGATTGAAAGAATCCTCCGCTAAGAACGCTAACATTATAAAAACCTGGGCATCGAAAGAATCGGAACAAAAAGAGGAAGACGTGCAAGATGAAATGGCAAACGATGAGGTTGCAGAAGATGATAAGAAGGAATCGTCACCAAGACCGCCTACACCTGAAAAAGAATCGACTTCTCCATCCCATCACGCCAGAAGACCCATGAATGCATTTCTGATATTTTGTAAAAAGCATCGACCCATAGTACGTCTGAAATTTCCAAATTTGGAAAACAGAGGCATCACGAGAATATTGGGAGAATGGTGGGCAATGTTAGACACTACTGACAAAAGCGCTTATACCAGTTTAGCCAAAGAAGTAAGTTCTTTCCTTTTCAAAGAAAACCTCATCACTGTATCGTTTTTGTTTCAGTACAAGGATGCATTTTTCTCTGCGAATCCCGACTTCAAATGGTACAAGTTACCCGCACCACCCCTGCGTACCCTCACAACCCGGCCTACAACCACTTTACCATCAAAAATGTCACCGGTTTCCAGCCCACCACAGAACAGTATATCTAACGCCGAATTCACTCCTGGAAAACTGGCTGACGAATCCCAGCTAGGCAGTCTCACTTCTTTGTTGAGCCCCAACAGTACCATGAAGTCGGATACCACATACATGGACGTGGATAAATCAAAATCAGTAGCTCAATCGACTACCTCCCTCCAAACAAACAATTGTACATCTTCAACGAAGAAAACAGATGCTTCAACTTTTAATACACCAGAGAATAGCATAAAGGTGAGTACCAGTGTGCCTCCCAAGAAGAGAATCAGCGAAAATTTCAGCAATTTCGACAATAAAAACGTCGTCCGTGATATTTTCAACACCAAATCGTCCACAAATTATCAAGAAGAGGACGATGGTAACGTTACCAAACAGGATCTGGTCGATAAGGTCGTGGACAGTATATTTTCCGCTAACAAAGACGATGAAATAATGAAATCCAACGATTCAAAAGAACCCAGAAAGTCCATTCGATCTTGCAAGGGCAGAAGATACGCCGAATTTATGGTAGAAGGAAAACTGTTTGGAAACAAGCACTCCAAGAAAGGTGCAATGCAAGACAAATATAAGTACGAGACACCCAGATCTCCAATTCTTCATGTAAAATCTTCTTCCAAGCAAAATTTGATTGCTCCATACTTGGAAGACACCATCAAGCGTTTGGCCGAACGTACAAATAAGAACGTTTATAGCAAACTAGAAAACACTAAAGACGAAAAGATGGACGAAGATAGACCTAAAAGTTCTCAATCGGAAAACTCGGAAGAAGGAAATTCTTCAAGTCAAAATTATTTCGATTTGGACTTGAGGATTTCAGAACTTCCCAGTTTGAGTTACGATGCTTATGTGCAACGTAAAAGGGCCAATAAGAAGCGAAAACCGATAAGGCATAAAATTGAAGAGAACGATTCAAAGTCAAATTGTGTTGGAACTGTTCCCAAAAATGAAGAGAATTGTCTCGTTGGATCGAAGAAAAGGAAAAACAAGAATTCAATTACCAGACTTGAAAGTCCAAACGATCATGCTATTATAAGTCAGTTTACTAACGATTTATCTGGTCTAGCCACATTGGCTGAAATAGCAGCAAACACCGAAAAAATTAACTGAAAATATTTTTTACCTATTCAAAAAAGTCTAAAAGTATGTATACAAGATGGTTCATAGGACAACTGCAAAATTCTAGACATGAAAATGGAATGTTTTGATCAGACAAAGATATCTATGGGATTGAGGTTTATTACAAAAATTCAAAAACCATTACTAATTTAAATAGATTAGAATGAGCTTTTTCAATTAATAAAGGAATCCTCTAAAATTTTTTGGAATTACTGTTCTCTCAAAATCAACACCCAATATACATTTCTTTTATAATATTATTTTTATGTTTAGAATCGGCAGTTGCTCTATGTCCTAATCTGTATAGACCACCAAAAATATGTTTTTATTGGTTCCAAAATCAGGAATGGATTATGTATTTATTTACAGAAAATTTTTTAAGGAGATAAATAATCACGATGGGTTGTTAAGTTTTAAAATTTTACAAAGCAATATCATAAATTAGTAGAATAGATTCGCGTAAGCAAAAGAAACATAAAAAAGGAAAAGAAAACTACTTTTTATGGTCGTTAATTGATGAGGAAATTATATTTAAATAAAGATACACGATATACCTTCTAGTGTCTTAGAAAAACGCCTTCACTCTCAACATTCTACATATAACGTTAAATTAAAAATTTCCAAATTAATACTATATAAAAACGTAGGTGTAACACATTAATTGTCATGAATTGTAATTGCCCTTTTTTAATGAAGGCAAATTTGTAATTTCACTGCTACTTTTTAAATAGCCCTAATTATTATTTAAGAAAATTTCGTTTTAAAAAATGGTACCTACTTCTTTCACGATTGTGTGTAAAAACTAACTGAAAAGGCATGAAGTTTCAATATTTTTATCTATTCTGCTGGCTATTAACGTAGAAAACATTTTTGTCACTTTATTCTCTTGCTAACTGCAGTATTTTAAAGACTAATTATTCACATACATCACTTCCTTTATTACACGTTCCTTCGACAAATAATGATAACGATAGGCTCTAAGATGTTTTTTTAGTGTATGCAACTATTGTTTCCTCTGACATATTATGTGTGTTTGTAATATTAATTGTATGTATTTTTTTAATGTTTTTAACCATATGGAAACCATAAACCAAACATTTAACTAGTGCACATTTACGATACGAGTCATTGTTTATTTTATTTTAATTTTTTGTCTATTATTTGTAAATACCTAGTGTAATTTTTGTTGCTGTTTTTTGTTGAAATCTATATGTCTACATGATAGTTTTTATATGAATTGTTATCGTTTCATGGTTTCTCGTTTCCAACTTTTAATTACTGAGCAGATAATGTTAATGTGGATTCGAAACCAAGAAACCACGAATTGTTTTTACCTGTGCAAAATAATAATACAGGGTGGAGGCAAACTATTTTCAAAGAACAGTATATTTTATAGAATCGGCCCTTGCAGGGTTCTCACGCTCATATGTTTGTACCACACTTTAGATTATTAATTCCTTAATTAATTGTGTTTGGAAAAAATGTGAATAATTTACTGGAAAAGATATTTTCCATTTATTTTTCACATCTTTTCCGAAAACTAATTAACATAGGGACCTGATCTATTAGGAATTTTGGTATTTTATTAGTAGCTATTTGTCCTACTTCGTGGTTTACATACATTAATTTTAGTTATTTATATTTACAAACAAGTGCATCACCTGTAGAGTATAATGTTGATTTTGAACAGTAAACGTTGTTGTTTAGTTTTTAATTAATCGTTACATTAAATTTTTGATTATCTCATATCTCCACCCTGTAAACGAATTAAACTTCAAATTACCGACCAAAATCTTCAAATTGAGTCGCCTTATAAGTAGTTCTAAAGGTAAAATTAATCATAGAAATAATGTATATTCATCTGAAAGAAGATATTTTGCTTGTAAATTTTATATGAAATTTTAATGTTTTACTGCCTGTATTTTAACGTTCAATGAAAGTGACTACATACTTTGAAGTAAAGTACAAAGGCTATTATATATACATATATTATATTATACAAATTTGACCAATTTCATGAATTACAGTAATAATATAAATATTAAGGATAATTAAACGTTATTGTAGTCGCTTTCGATGACAAGTAAAATATTTCAAAAAAATATATTGAAAAGGACAGAGAAGTGATGTACCCGATTGTGATAGAATAAATTGGTAAGTATTTTTGTATTGTTGACAGATACGTAGAAAAGTTTACTGAGCGTTACTTGGTGGTGCCTTTTATTTATTGTTTTATCATATTTTTGTGTTTAGATATATGCATATATATAAAAATATTATCATGTACGTTTTATCAAAGTTTATATATTAAAGAATAAACATCTTTAATATGTACTTGTTTTTAATTTCTTAATTACCTAATGCAAAAAAAAATTCTAGAACTTACTATCTACTTTTATAAATAACAGAGGTTCCCAATGCCTGGTACACCCAGTGATTTTACTCAAAATATCCCAGTACTTCTATTAGTCATGTTGACAGTGCCAGGAACAATTTTTTCGATGGTTTTCAATTTCTTATTTGGAACCGTAATAGCGAAAACATGTAAATGTTTAGATATAATTAAACTACATAGAAAGGAAAATTCACTAAAATTAAAAGTTTTTCTACCTACATAAATTTAGAAGAGTAAAATGAAAGATCATTCTCAACCCCTCTAATGTCTACAGGAAATGAAAAAAAATTTTTTCAGAAAGAAAAGGAATATATTTAAGATTATTCAATGAATGAATACAGAAGACCTAGATACTAAGAAATTACTTATAAAACTCGTGCTCACTCTCGTCCTTTTTGATGTTATTTTTGTATCCTTTTTCAAAATCTTTTGGCAGCACAATATAACGATTTTCCCTTACAGCATGCATTCCAGCTTCTTGACAAATGGCATTAATATCAGCCCCAGAAATACGATCTGGTCTTGCTACATAATCTTCCAAATCAACCTACAGAAAATAAAATTTGCTTTAAATAATACAAAATAGGTATCAACAATTTCACCTCTTCAGAAAGGTTCATTTTTGAAGTAATTGTGCTGAAAATGAGACGTTTTTGTCTACGGTCTGGCAGAGGAAATTCTATTTTCCTGTCCAAACGACCAGGACGAAGTAAAGCAGGATCCAAAGTGTCTGCCCTATTGGTTGCCATAATAACCTAAAGGACAAGAAAAATTTAAAATAAAAACAAACACAAGGATTATTTACTTTCTACCTTAACATTAGTAGTTTGATCAAAACCATCCATTTGATTGAGAAGTTCCAAAAGGATTCTCTGGACCTCTCTATCAGCTCCAGTTTGAGCATCAAATCTTTTTGTGGCAATTGCATCAATTTCATCAATGAAAATGATAGCTGGTGCATTCTCTTTAGCAAGTCTGAAAACATCCCTCACCATTCGAGGTCCTTCACCCAGATATTTTTGAACAAATTCAGACCCAACAACTCGAATAAAAGCAGCTGAAAACAGAATAATATCAATATTAAATAATTTGATGTCAGATTTGTGTATTCACCAACCAATTTTTTATTGTCATTAGATAGCAAAATTAAGTTTCATTAATTTATAAAAAAAAAATAAGTACATACCAGTAGTATGATGTGCTACTGCTTTGGCCAACATTGTCTTGCCACATCCTGGAGGTCCATACATTAATACACCTCTTGGTGGATCAATTCCAATCTGTTTGTACAGTTCAAAATGTGTCAAAGGGAGCTCCACAGCTTCTCGTATTTCCTGCTTTTGCATGTCCATGCCACCAATATCACTGTATTGAACGTCAGGTTTTTCATCTGCTTGTAACATACTAATTGATGAATCTGCTTCAGGAGGAAGAACATCAACCAAGGCATTGCTATGTTTATGCAGGGCAACACTAGCAGATGGTTTCAAAAGTTCTCTGTCAATTGTTGAAAGGATTCGTACATAATAGTTAGAACCTGTAGTTGAACCAACAATGCCAGTATTTTGATCTACAGCTTCAAGAAACTGACCAATTACTAAGGGGACTGATTGGATCCTTTTCACTTCTTCTTGAGCATGGAGGTATTCTTTCTTCAAGTTTCTCTGTTCATCCTTGATGTACTCCTCTTGAACTTCCAAAAATTCTAACATCTGTTGTAATCTCTTATATTTAGTATACAAATCTTCAATGTCCATTTCCTGAAGATTCTGCTTTTGTTCTGTAGGATTTGCATCCTCCTGATAATTTAAAAACATCTTTGTACTAGTGTGGTAAGTGGGCCAATGGAATTTATTGTTAGAATAAAAACAAATGTAGATTGTTTTACGATAATCAATTGTTTAAAAACTTACCTTATCACTAATGATAGTTTCAGTTGTATCCATTGCTTTAGAATATTTTAATTTCTATAAATAATAAAACAATGACTCGTTAATTTCTCAGAAACTTAACCTATAAAATTTTATTCTATGAATCTCTGTAAATTAAAATAACATCTTTGCATTGGTTTCTGTAGTCACAGCAAAGCCCTTTTGCCGTTAGANATAAAATGTGATGTTATCTTATTAAGATAAGTATTTTTTTCAAAAAAACAATCCTATTCGAGGATTTACTTACTTTGATCTAGTTTCTGCAGCAGATTTGATTTTAGAAATAAAATATATATAGCAGACATAGTGTTTAAAAAGTAATCCATATTACAACGTATGTCAGTTTTGTTCTGTTTACTTGCAGGTATGTTATCTTGAAATCTCTTAAATATAACATACACACAATAAAATTGTGAATTTTATACCTGTATAAAATTACATAATTTTTTACAGTACCTATACATTATCAAATAAATTTACGATGCTTTTATTATCATTGTATGCTATATCTGTTAACTAATTTTAAAATTATTCTGAAAAACACAATGATTGTGCTTAAGATGAATGTAAATGTAGGTACATTCTTTATCAGATAACAGACGTAACTACATAATACCTATAAAATGAATGTAAAACACAATACTGTTCATTTTAAATTTTAATGCCAATTTAAATGTTTACATACTAACATTATTAAATAAAACTCGAATAAAAAGAATGGGCATCTAAATAAAGACGTACATAACGTAGTACATAAATAGGAAACAAAGTTATATATTTATTCACAAGGTTGAGAATAATTTATAGTGCAAATTGAAGATTGACGTGTGTACGTACTATTCAGTTAATACGGTTGGCACCTACTATGTATACGTAGCAGGTAATATTATATTGGCATAACAAAAAGGAAAATGTTTTTTTTGAAATGTGGAACAGTTTTTTCTTTTTATTTTTTAACTAAACGATAATTTTGCTAGTAATTAAAGTGATTGGTTTATTTTGTCCAGTAAGTAGCGCAGTTCCTTGCAAGTTACACAAAATTAATAAAATTGTATGTTATAAATATCTATTACGCGATAGTAAGTAGCTATTATATTCTCAGTTTTTTAATTCAATTTAAAGTGAATTCAGTAATAATAAAAGTAAAAGCTTGTTAGTTATGAGGAATTGAATTTTATTTAAAAACCAAAGTGTAAGGATAATGTATTCATTGCTCGTCACCCTGTACCATTCAAGCATACAGTTAGACAAGGTATGGTTCATGTTGAAAGTCGATGCTTTGGTGTCTCTTCGTCTTTTGAACGTAGTGTTAAAAAAGGTTGTTAATGAGTTGTGTAAATGCAAATTAAATGTCATAAGCCACAGACCTCGGGTACGTTTTTAAATAACAGGTTCTGTCGAAACCATGATTTCAACAGCTAACAGAAACGATGGATGAACAAAACGGACACCGATATTGGTGTAACGTCTCGAAATTATTTATTAAACGACCATATTTTATGCATGTAAGCTATACAAACTTATATGCATACACTTGTGCTTTGTCTTGAAATATTCAAGGAATTATTATTTTTTTTAATAACCTCGAAATAATTAATATCCTGTTTATGTAGTACGTAAATGCTGTATAAAAAAGGAATTTTTATCATTTACAAAAAATAAACACATACCTAGGTACATAATACTTATTTGCTTACTTCAAAGTTTTTGAATTTTTATAACCAACAGGTTTAAATTTATTATTGTGAGTTTTGTAATAAAACATTTATCTCTACATTTATAGGTATATCTCTTACTGATACAATTTATATATCTTTACGATTAGATTGATTGTGGTACACATAAAACAGTACAGCTACTTACCTGTAATTGTATTTTTAAAAAAAGTAAATTACTTTTCTGTAGAATACAGGGGCGTACTGGTCATAAAGGAGTTTAGGAGACTTCCCACTGGGCCCTACCACGATACAGG